TTCCTAAAATTATTTTTTATTACTAGGATATCATACAGTGTTTCATTATTTATAATCAAATTAAGTAAATTTGCAACTGACTTTTTAGTGGAGATTGGGACAAAGTTGCAATTCGGCACTTTTTGTAAAAAAATGGGGTCATACTCATAATGAATAGAGACTTATAGCCAAGTCTTGATATCATGCAGGGAGAATATACATTGATAAGCAATTATATTTTATAGTAGTAGTATTCAGAAATTCTTACAATTTACAATACAATTTTCAAAAATGGATAAAGACTTATAGCCAAGTCTTGATATCATGCAGGGAGACTCTCTACAAATACAAAAATTGATTATCATAAGGAAATACAAATTTATCAATTTTCATGTGAAAATTACATAAATTTGTTCTCCAATAAATAGCAATAATACTTTGAATGTTATATTAAGTAATATAGCTTCAGGTAAATAAGCTTACACTTCAAAAATATACTGTTTATTCATTAATTTTAAAAAAAGTCCAAATTATCTAATCTTGCTTACTCTTCCTTTAAACTTCTTTGTGCCAAATTTAATATTGCCTTCAAAGATGGAATAAGGACATTAGGTTCAATCCTTCGGCTTTCGACAATTTCCAAAATGTGTTGAATTAATTTCAAACATTCATCGTGTTTTGAAGCTCTTTGCTCAACAATCTGATTATCTGCCCTTGTAAGAATTCTTACTGCTCTTTTTTCATTCAAAACATTAGCGACTTGAACCTTAATAATCGCATTTGGAATCACAACAGTGATGAGAGTTATGACGATGTCATCAATGCGCTCATTTTTCTTACCCAAGAAAAATGTTTGCTTTAATTGATGAAAGTGTGATTCCGCAATGTTATTCGTGGAATCACCTTCTCCACGATATAACATCATCCAATGTTCTTTGGTTCTTCTCCATTGTTTATCGAAATACTTCAAAGCGCGCGGTTCTTCTTCTTCTAACATTGTTGTCAAGAACTCATATGTTTCATCAGACTCTTCAGCCAGCTTTTCTGCATTCGTTGCATCTGCACGTAATGTCAAAAAGTCCATTGCTAAATAGAAGTTCTCAAAATTCTGTGGATTGTTAAAATAGCTTCCAACTTTTGCACATGCGCGTAAAACATGCACAGCGCACCAACTGAGCTGCGCAAGAGGAAATCTGTCCTCAATTGCGCGAGCAATGTTTAGCGCACAGTCAGCGCTCCAATGCTGTGGATCCAGGTGCGCAAACTCACAGAATTTCACCAAACATTCTTGAATTTTTTCAGATGTCTGAGGGTTCACTAAAAAATAGCAAAAGGGGAAAATTGTGTTTTGACTTGTTTTCATTGTTACTGCAAACAATTGGATCTTTCCTTTAATTAAAGAATGAGTGGAATCGACGTGGAGAGGGTTATCAATGCTATGCACCAATTCTTTTGAAGCAAAAGGTGCATATATGATTGTAAACTCGGAAAAATCTCCATTGTAATCAAATTGAACGAGATCATCTGGGCACTCTTCCTGTAAATTATTCAAAAATGCTTCCAAAGAAGTGTAAGGATCGTTTGATAATCTTTGTGCAATAATCTCATCAAGGCGATAAAATTTGTGCTTTAAAGCATCAGTAGACTGCGCGAAAAGTTTCATCGTGTTGTAAGACGAGTTACGGAAAGTGAGGTGAACCGAAAAAGTGACACTTATTTGGTCGGATAAATTCCCTATATATTTACTTGTCAAAAAAAATCAGACTTTTTTTGCTTTAAAAAATTTATAAGTTAATTATTGAGAACGAAGGTGAAAGGAAATGGATATCTCTTACCTTTCATTCCCTCGAGAAAGTTCAAAAACTTGGGTGCAATCAGTTCTGATTGCACCCAAGTTTTTGAACTTTGTATAAGGAATTGTTGGCTATGATGTACTGATTCATGATCAGTACATCATAGCCAACAATTCCTTCGCAAACAGCGGGAAACTTTGTCTGAATAGTTTAACATTCAGACAAAGTTTCCCGCTGTCAGAGAGGGAATGGAAGGGTAAGAGGTATATATTCATAATGTATACTCTTACCCTTCCATTCCCTCGAGAAAGTTCAAAAACTTGGGTGCAATCAGAACTGATTGCACCCAAGTTTTTGAACTTTGTATAAGGAATTGTTGGCTATGATGTACTGATTCATGATCAGTACATCATAGCCAACAATTCCTTCGCAAACAGCGGGAAACTTTGTCTGAATAGTTTAACATTCAGACAAAGTTTCCGCTGTCAGAGAGGGAATGGAAGGGTAAGAGGTATATATTCATAATGTATACCTCTTACCTTTCATTCCCTCGAGAAAGTTCAAAAACTTGGGTGCAATCAGTTCTGATTGCACCAAGTTTTTGAACTTTGTATAAGGAATTGTTGGCTATGATGTACTGATCATGAATCAGTACATCATAGCCAACAATTCCTTCGCAAACAGCGGGAAACTTTGTCTGAATAGTTTAACATTCAGACAAAGTTTCCCGCTGTCAGAGAGGGAATGGAAGGGTAAGAGGTATATATTCATAATGTATACCTCTTACCCTTCCATTCCCTCGAGAAAGTTCAAAAACTTGGGTGCAATCAGAACTGATTGCACCCAAGTTTTTGAACTTTGTATAAGGAATTGTTGGCTATGATGTACTGATTCATGATCAGTACATCATAGCCAACAATTCCTTCGCAAACAGCGGGAAACTTTGTCTGAATAGTTTAACATTCAGACAAAGTTTCCCGCTGTCAGAGAGGAATGGAAGGGTAAGAGGTATATATTCATAATGTATACCTCTTACCTTTCATTCCCTCGAGAAAGTTCAAAAACTTGGGTGCAATCAGAACTGATTGCACCCAAGTTTTTGAACTTTGTATAAGGAATTGTTGGCTATGATGTACTGATCATGAATCAGTACATCATAGCCAACAATTCCTTCGCAAACAGCGGGAAACTTTGTCTGAATAGTTTTACATTCAGACAAAGATGATTTTTTTAAATAAGATATATATATATCAGATGATATAAGATGATTTTTTTAAATAAAAAATAAAATTTAATTTTTTAATTGTTAAAATAAGAATAGTAAGCTTGACAAGTAATTTAAGTTTTTGCTTTGTAAAGTTATTTGGTTGGCAAATGCATTGTGTCACTTTTTGTTTGAGTTCACTTTCCGTAATTTGTCTTATGATAATCGTTTCTTTGTTATTCGTATCAATTCCGAACTTATCAAAAAATGCTTTTTGAGCAAGAAATTGCTTTCCACCGTTTTTAATATAAAGTTCGATCCATTTTTGATAAAATTTACTCGCGTAATGTGAACCCATTTCAACTCCTATATGATGGCAATGTTCTTCATTAACTTTGCTTATAGTAAACACTCCATTTTGTTCTTCAACCCTAAATTTTGCCTTGCATAGGGGATACGAACATGAATAAGTGACATATTGCTTTGGAGATCCCGTTCTTCTTCTGTATGGGACACCGCCCTTGACTTCCTGTTTAATACCAAAAGCAATAAGCTCCTCTAAGTCCACTGAAATCATAAAAATGAAGTGATTTTGAAAAGAGTTAACAAAATTCAAATCACATCAAAAACAAAAACACATAAAAATATTTTATTATACTCATTCGAAATTAAAAATAATAAAATTTATATATATTAATTTCATTAAATCAAGGTTAAAAATCTCACCGGAAAAATAACCTCAGTGTGATAAATTTATCACCGGAAAAATATACAATAAGGTTAATACCGAAAATATCGAAAAATTAACATTTAAGGTTAATTTAAGAGTATGCACTTTTGTCACCTACTCCTTTTTAGTGTATTTTTTTGAATGCTTTCAGAATTATATTTGCTACTAACCAGAATTGTTGTTAACTTTATTATACGATTTTAAAGTTTTAATGATATACTTTTCTGATAATTACAAAACGATATGAACTTTTTCTGATAATACGATTAATTTTTTTTAAAAAAATAGTTTTGGGATTCGGTTGTATTACTTCTCAATAACAAAGCAATTCACAAAGATTTTTTGAATCTAGAATGGCTGTTTATCCATTGTAGACTGCTCACAATATAGTTTTTCTGCATACTTGCCGAAATCAGAGATCTAACATCAAACAATCTCGATAACAAATACCTCAATCCCACTTTACTGGTCAAAATTCTTGAAGTCTTACTTTACTTCACTAATTAATCATAATTTACCTTTAACTAAAAAATATTACATAAATCTAACAAAAAAACCTTTAGCAATAAAAATACATTTGCTCAAGCCTATCGGCAACTCAAATCTAAAAAACTTTTTATAACATTCTTATTACAATTTTTATTTTATTTTTATATTTATATTTTTTTAGTTCACTTTTTAAATAATGATCTTTAGATTGAACCAATAAAGCGATTTTCCATATAAATCGCGATTTTTCAAAAAAATCGCGACCACAATAAAATCGCAATTGATTAAAAAACGCGATTTTTCAAAAAAATTGCGATTTATATATTTAAATCGTGATTAAAAAAGTGGTTGCGGTTTTCCCTAATAAATCATTTACTCAAATATATCAAAAGTTTTATTTTTATATATAAAGAAAACTACTTTTAAAAAAATACCCTATATTTCGAATGGATGTGCAGCTACACCAGCTGGAGCAACAATGGAAAGATTCCAGGAGAAAGAACCGCGTTTGTTTTCATCTTCTTTCCAATTGTAAGTTAAAGGATAAGGACGAAAGTCGTTGAGTGTTTCATATAGCTGTTCTCTTAAGTTTGGTTCACAGCAAATAATGAACTCGTCAATTGCTTGAAGAGATATCATAGTTGAAACATAAGGCAAATTCGACAAGAAAAAGTCAACCATTACTGTCGGGTTTTGAACTTTGTTTTCTAATGTTTCGACTGGTTTTATTATACTTTTGAAATATCTATCATAGTCATTGTTGTCTGTTAAGGACAAATTGTTTGGATAAGCTGCAATGAGTCTTCTATATCTTGCTTCTGTTGTTGAGAATGAGAAGACACCTTCTGGTTCTGTAGGAGTGTAAGTTTTTAGTTGAACTTTGCGTGTGTTTGGTGTCTGATTTGAGTCTGATTGGACTGAAACAACTTGAGCTTCTGTAGTTTGTTGTGTTATTGTTTGTTCTGAAGGTGCTCTGATGTTTGTTCGACTTCTGCAGTTTCTTTTGGTTGAATTTGAGCTTCAATTTGTGTCTGATTGGAGTCTGATTGGACTGAAACCTGTGTAACCTCTTTGGACATACTAGTAAAGTATGAGGATATAAGTGTTTGACCTTTAAAGAGCTTTTGTAAAGAATTGTCAGTCATGCTACTACTATGGTCTTGCATTAGACAAAAATGAACTGACCAGAAGTTTGTGGAAAATGAATATTGAATAAAAACCGTTTTCGTCAACGGAGACCCCTCTATTTTTTTATTTTATTTAATAGTTACCGTTGGAAAACCGTTCCATCTCAAATATTGAATGAACTATAAACGTTTTTTTGTTTTCTATATATACTTTTTTGTCCAACGGGAAAACTTTTTACACAACGGTTTTTGAGAGTCGTCGCCGTTGACTTTTTGGTAGAGCACTCAAAATAGTATAACTTTGTCTGGACAAGTAAGGGTCTATCCTCGCTACAGGAAAAGTTACAGGCGTTCCAAGGAAGTATACTTTGAGAAGCCTTTTCCCCCTTATAGAATGAGATAAGACGGTTATTTTACAAAACTGACAACACTTTGACCGAATAGTTTTTTGTGCTGAACAAAAAGTGTCATATAAACATCTGTCAAAAACCGTTTTTTACTTCACTTAAAATGCCACGTAAGCTACGTAAGAATATACGTAAGAGGAAGAGAGCATTGAAACATCCAATAGTAAAACTGACACCACAACAACAGTTGCAACAACAAATGATGAATGACCCCACTATGTTGCAACAAATGTCAAGCAACCCTATGCTTTTAAACCGAGTTATTGGTGCACAGAGTGGAGGTTTAAGAGCGGCACTTTTAGCGAAAATGGCAGGCTATGGTGGAGCTGCAGACGGAACAGCTTATAACCCTCAAAGTCAAATGAATTTGAGTTCACTCAAAAATCAAATAACAGATGTCAAAAAAGTCAACCATAGACATACAGAAACAAATAAGTGAAAACGAAAAGAAACTAGAATATGACAGACACACAAAGAAACTCAATGAGTTAAACGTAGAGAAAAAAGAAGAAAGAAGAACAACTGAAAGAACTAAGTACAGAGGGATATGCGAAAAAAGTGTCAGAAAAAGCAGCAGAAGTAGCAAAAATGGAACAAGATGTTATAAATTTGAAAAACCATACTACTCAATATAAAGTACTGAAAGATGAAGAGATAAAACAAAAAGCCCTGAAGACATATATGGATAGCGATGAGTATAAAAAAGAAGTTGAAGCAAATGTAAAGGCGGAAAAAACTTTTACAGTTGCAAAACCAAACCGTACAGTATGAAAACTTAGCACAAGAAAGTAAAAATAACGACGCAGCCATGCAAAAGGCAATGAAAAGCGCAGAATATATAAAAGCTAATAATGACTGGTTAGATGCCCAAGCCAACGCTAAAGCAGCCCAACTTATAGGGTCAATAAGGACAAAAATACAAGCGGATGAAGACAGTTCAAATGAAGCTTTAATGAATGCTGACTTTAAGAATGCCTTCGAAGCTCTTCATAGTAAGGTGAAACTAGTGAACGACTTCTCATCTGGAAAGAAACTGAAGTCTGAAGGTTTCGACAAAGAGTTAAGAGAAGTAGCACAAAATATGACGAAAATAACAGATGCAGCAACGAGACAGGCAGTTCAAAGTGCCTATGACGCCGTTAGAGCAACTGTTGTGGAAAGTCAAGAAAAAGAGTTACAACAGACCAAAACAGACCTAGTAAATGCTTTCTTAAAAACGAAAAGTCAGGTAGGACATTATGCTGCAGATGGAACATATGTGCCAGCTGGTGGAACTTATATACCAGTTGGTGGAACTTATATACTAGCTAGTGGAACTTATATACCACCAAACCCTCCAAGAGAAGCACCTGCACCAGGACTACCTAAAACATTTACATCGTCACATGGACACAGACACAGGCATGCACCAAAACCAACACAACAACAACCACAACCAGCACAACAACAACAACCAACAATTCAAAATCCAGCACCACAACCAACAGTTCAAAACACTGCACCACAACCAACAGTTCAAAACACTGCACAGCAACAACCACAAACAGAGCAAGGACATAAAAGAAGTAGAGAACAAGGAAACCAAGAATTCTTAAAAATGCTTAAGGAAAATTATGGTTACCCAGATACTCTTGACTTTAGTGACAGATATAAAGAAGCTATTAGAAAGTTCAAGGAAGGAAATACTGACCCGAACCTATTTAGCTTTATGGTTCAGCACCAAATGGGATATAATTTCAAACCTGGAAAATACAAGCTCGCTAAGGGATATGATTTAATAGCATATCATCCAAATGACATGAATGAATTTACTCCGAGATATTTTATGTCAGAGATAAATGATAATTCAACTATCTTCATGAAACGCGTAAAAAATAGAGACGGAACGAAAGAAGAAAGGGTTATGAATGCGGATGACTTAAATAGGGAACTTGTTAAAAACGGTCTCGGAATATATGAAATGCCAGCAGATGAGGTACAAGAAACTCCACAGGAAGAAGTTCAGATACAACCAGACATGGAAGAAATAGTTCAGCAACAACAGCTAGAAGAGCCTGAAGGAAACGAACAAGTCCCTCCTTTGGAAACTAACTTCACAGAACTAGATGAAGATTTGGAACAGCCGAAAAATCTTGACCCTCAACAAGAGTATGCGGAGAATATGGAATCTTTCCAAGAGTCTAAGAAAAATTCGGCTGACAGAGTAGAAGAATATCGAAAAATGTTTGCCGACATACAAAAGACTCCAACACCAGATGAAAATATTCAGCATAGAATGGAAGTACTGAAAGATAATGTACGCAAATACAATAACCCTTTTTACTTACGACCATATAACGTTCAATCTTTGGCTGAACTCGGTGAAAATAAAAGGTTAAATTTCAACAAAACATATAGAAATGAAACATTGTTTAAAGTTCATTCAGAACCTAACCAATATGGAAACAAACCTACTTTTGTTTCTGCAGACTATGGAACTACAATGAGATGGGGTCATAAAGCTAATCCGGATAGGTGGTTCATAAACTTACAACCTCAATTCCAAGAAGTTGTAGACGCAATGGAAGTGAATGGTGAACCAGATATAGCTGGTATTTTCAGCGCGGCTTTAATGCCATTGAAAGATATGAAACATGCAGATATTTTGAACCAGTATGAAATGAACATGGCTGATGGAAATATAACACCTGACGTTCTAGAACATTTATCTCAAAGAACTACACAGAACCATAAAGATGGTATATTTGGTGAAGAGTTTAGAAAGAAAGTTAGGGAGAGAGAAGGAAGAGAACCTATTGTACATGACCTTGCAAACGAAAGTTTGCAAAATGTCATAAAAACTTACTTTGCAGACAATGAACTGAGAAGGGATGAAATTTAAGAAAACTCAAATGGACAGTACCAAATGAAATGTTAGTATTGAAAAACATGTTCCTTGACAAAATAAAACCAACTACAGAAATAAATGACGCAAGACTGAAACAGTGGGTAAAAGCTTTCCCATTCACAAAAGATATTATTGGTAACTGGAAAGAAAACCAGAATGGCTACAAAAACATATATTTGGAAACGAGCTTATTCCATATGGACAAGCTCTGTTTGAAGAGCTTGAACCGGAAACTCAGGAAAGAGTCATGCAAACAATACGCGAAGACTCAAATACAAACTATGACAAAATCTTTCTAGGATATAGGTTACCTGAGATGGGCGACCAGAGCCAAAGGCAAAAAGGACATGGGAAATTTACAACATACTAGGTGAACATGAGGCAAAGATGCAACAACTTGAAGCAGAGGGCAAGTTACAAAAGCGACACCAAAGAAGAAGAGTAGAACAAAGTGAAAGTAGTGAAGAAGTAACTTCATCTAGTGAAAGTAGTGGCAATGAAGGAAAAAGAAGAGTTAAAAACTCAGTCAGGAAGAAAGTAAAGCTTGGTACGAGTGGGTTCTATTATGATATATAAATCCAACTATTCTATATTTTTACCCATATGAAATGTACGCCGCTCAGAATATAACGCCAACAGTTTTGGATGCCATGAACGGAAATGTTTCCGAATGGTATAACGAATGCGACAATGCCATTAGAAGGTCAGAAATAGTTCCTGGAACTTACGAATATACAACTGCTGTTTCTTATGGAAACGTAGGTGAGTTTGGTGAAGGTTCTTCACAACAGTAGATATTGCTTGCGACAGGTTTCATATTATTTCTATTGACAACTCATTCTTATACGTGGAACAAGACATTGAAATAAAACCTTCTGCCAAGTTGTCTGACAAGAAAGGTTGCAATGGAATTTTCTATGTCGGATACCAATATGCTCCAGAAGTTTTCATGGGATATAAGATATATTCTAACTCTGACTTAGTTTCAAACAGTAACATGGGCAAACTATGAATGGTTCGCTTTGAGAAACTCAGTACAACCAAAGCTAGAGAACAAACAGACCAGTATGCAACTATTGAGAAAATAAGAAGACTTGACCTAACGTTCCAGGAGTTTATGTTAACCTTTTCTGGTTCAGATGGAACTGCTGCCACTAAAGTAAAACTGAAACTTAGAGTTCCTTTGTCATCTTTCCTCATCTTCAGGTTTTTAAGATACTTGCCAAACTGGGAGGAAAAATTTCTATTGAACTTACTCCAAGCAAAAAATAACTTAGTCATTGCACCAACACAAGACCCATTCACTCTTACAGACGTAACGGAACAAATAAAACGTCATTCGCCGACTTTTGCAAAGACAAAGTTGACTTAGACTTTGGTTTCTCAAACTTCAACAATGAAGTAAACTATTATTTCAATGCTGCTGGAACTGCTTGGGACCCAGTTAAGTTCACATGCGAAAAATTTGAATGCAAGAGAATAGAAAAGCAGACTTGCAGTCTATATGTTGGACCCAGATATTTCAAATGCTTTAGCTGCCAAATATATTGCAGTTCCACTTATGTTCCTATACACCAAATATCTGTCAAAGACTTTGCAGGTGAAGTTGGAAACCAAAGTGCTGACCCAGGTGCAAGAACAGATATTGCTTTAACAACTGCAATGAAACATGCAGATACTATGTTGACTGTTCAGACGAACTATAAATGACTATTCTTGTTTCTACAACCCTGGTATTAAATATCATATAAACATAGATGGCAAATATTATCCAAGAGAAGAATATTCTACAGTTGAGGATATGAGGTCATACAACTTGACATTAGATGCTATGAACTTTAACAACAATTCACAACAACCATTAACCCTGAAATGCAAAGTTCTATTATGCCATATGTGAAAGTATGGACTCATACAGGAGGTCAAAAAACTCAATATACAAATGGAGACCGTTCAAACTTTTGGCTTGGCATTCCATTTGCTGACTCAGAAGACTTTATGGGTGGTATTTCAACTGTTGGTACTGTACAAATACAATATACTGGTGACAGAGACGGTCCAGATGAATTGAGAGCAAAGAAGTTTACAAAACCAATAGCACTTTTCACGTAAGATGCTCTTTTGAAGATTCGTTCGATGAAACCTGCTGGGGCTCCTCAGATTGGCATAACGACAGCTTCCATCGAGCAGATTTTGGCAGCAGGTCAGTAAGTTGTTCTTGAACTGACTTCTCTCCGTCAAATATTGACAGTACGCCAGTTTTGAATAATATTGTATTATAAACTTTCCTTTAGTAATATCGGTCAGTTTTGAAGTTATATTTTTGTCTGCTTCAAGAACTTTCACCATCTCGGTTATACCAACTTTCTTTGCTTTATGAAAATATTTAGGTTCAGCAAAGACTGCTATTCTATAACATTTTCCATTGTTTGTGTAAAGAACTATTCTGTCAATGTATTTGTATTGTTTGTGAGTATAAACCTTGTTTTGCTTCAATTCAATAAGATATCCGAATACGTCCATCTTTTTATTCTAAGTAAAATGTCATTTCCGAAAAAATAGAAGCGTAAGTGTTTCAAAAGGTTAATGGCGGTGGCAGATGTGAAGTTAAATTCACCAACTCAAACAAAAGTCAAGTGTTGTTGTCAATGTAAAACAGAGATTGAAGTGGGGAAACCATACGAAACGAAGATGGTATAAAATTGTCCTGTAAAAGAACCAACATATCCTGAAGTTAGCAGAGACTTAAGTTCTGTTGCAGATATTCGAAACGACTACCAACAACTGAAAGACAAACTTCAAACTCAGGAGAAGATTGTCAAGCTTTAAGTTATAATGTTAAACTTGTCGAACACAACCCTGTAAAGTGAACTCATATGTCATTGCACCTCATGAAGTTTTGAAAGAACTATTGAAACTTTTGACAGAGGCAGACGATATAAACATCAAAGAAATAGAACCCGACATTAGTTGCTGTGGTGTTTCATATAATGCCATTGACAAGATATACGTTATGAAGGAGGTGAAACGTTGAACTTAAAATATAGTTTCCCAGACGTATAAAATATTTGACCCACAACATTTCATTAAAATTTATTGCTAAGTAAAATGTCAAAACTTCTTGAAAGATGTTTGAAGAAAATAATATAGACTTTATTTCATGTAAAGGACTTTACACACTTTTGAACGATATGAAAGACCCTGTTTTGTTTGTTCGTGTAGACAAAGGAAAGTTCTATGTCTTTACAAAATATTTGAACTTCTTAGACAGAGAACTTCAAGAAACGCCATGTGAAAGTTTAGATGAAGTTCTTCTCCACTTTCAGAAAAACTTTTAAATATATATAAATGGCAGAAGACATAATATGGTTTATACTATTACGACTAAAAACCCTGAGTCATATAATTCTATAACAACAAACTTACAAAGTCCTCAAGGACGATATTGTAAACTAACCTTAAACACAATGACGACTAAAGCCTGTTTTGCTCTTTTGACACCAGAAGACTTTATTGTTGTGAATGGTAAAAAATACTCCTTTGAAGATACTTACTCAGATATACCACCAACAGGTTTTGTTGACTTATTTAATACTTTAAGGACGGGTGTAACATGTGCTGCAACTAGAGCAGGTTTCATTATGTTTGGATGTCCGACTGAGTTTACTATAAACGATATGAGCTATAATACAAAACTTATTTCTGGTTTTTACTACCAACAGTTTCCTATAACAGGAAAAGGTGTCATACAAGGAATGTCTATTCCATTGACATTAAGCACACCAATCTTATATATTGTTTCAAACTTAGGTTCAAAGTGTTATTCGAATGTCGACAGAAACTATTATGACCAAAAGATACTTATGCGTATAAACAATACTTTCTCTGCTGGTTTGCCTATTGTTCATTCGAATGCAAATTTTCAACCTTAGTGAACTCAAACACTTTGGCAAGTATAACGTTGACATTAGTTGACGCAAACTTTGTTCCTGTAAAACTTTTATGTCCTATGTATTTGTCAATGACGGCAGAAGTTTCGAATTGGAAGATGCAACTGGTGAAAGTATTGTATTACAAGAACAACTTCAAACAACAAATAGCTCAAGAACAACAAATGCAACAAATGCAACAACAAAGTCAAGAATAAAAAAATTATTTTTTTATTTTTATAAAAATGTACAGAATAGATGTTTAGATTTTTAATGACTTCCAAGCATTCAGAAATATGTGTCCATTTCGAGACTATAACAAAGCAGTCGAGAATTTGAAACGTTAGTCATTTATGTTGACTCTGCCCCAGAATGTTATGTTATGAAAGAATGGGATGTTGTCTTTAACAAACCAAGAGCAACAATAGTTTCAGAACAAGAATGTAGAAGAAAACTTAAGAAAATAAAAGTCGTAACAAGTTGGCATGAAGATGTTAGATGCTTGGGGATATCTTATTGTCAAAGTTAGAAGATTTTTCAGTTCGAGGTATAAAGTCTTATACACCTTCTCCAAACTTCTATTCTATCTTCACTGGATATAAATATACGAAAGTAGAATGGAAAGAAAATATTATAGAAGCTTGGTTAGACCATGTCAAAGAAATTATATGCAATGGAAACGAAAAGTTTATGAGTATATCTTATGTTGGTTTGCAAACATCTTACAACATCCAAGTGCTAAAAATGAAACTGCTCTCATTATAATTGGAAAACAAGGAACAGGTAAGAACACATTCTTTACAGATATTTTGCAAACTGTTAGAAGGTATTCGAACCGAATATGACAAACTTAGAAAACATCTGTGGCAAGTTTAACTCCTCAATAGAGAATATGAAACTTATAGTTTGCAATGAACTTCAAAGTATAGATACAACAAAAGTTTTGAACTCAGATGCTTTGAAGAGTCTTATAACAGACAAAGTTGGAGTTGTTGAAAGAAAATATAAAGACCAAAGAGTTTGTGAAAATGTTGCAAACTTCATTATGGTTTCAAACAATGCTGTTCCGATGAAGTTAGAAAGTTCTGACAGAAGATATGTAGTTGTCAGAACGTCAGATTCTCATATGCAAGATACAGAATATTTTGACGACTTAGCAGAAACTTTGACATCTGACTTTTACAACCACTTGTTCTCATATTTCATGACATTAGATATTTCTAAGTTCAATCCAAGACAAATTCCACATACCGAAGAGAGACAAACATTGTTAGAAGCAAACAAGAGTGTATATGAACTGTTCATAGATGAAACTGACTTTGTGTCATTAGATGAAAGGTCATTGTACGATTCGTATAAACAATATTGTCAAGAATATGGTTATATGACAGCTTCTAAACGAACATTCTTGGCAAATGTCAAAAGTCTTTTAGACGTTCAGAATGGTGTATATACAAAGAAAATTTTTTCTGAGTAAATTTTAAAAAAAATATTTTTTTATCCGATAGAAAAGATGGCAAAATTCATCTCAGTAAACAAGTACATGTCAGGACTTAAAGAAGAACTAGACCCATTCACATATTTGAATGTTTACTTCTACCATTTTGAAAAGTCTTCATTCAGCAAAGTTTGGAACATCGAACCAGTTAAGTTTGCTATTGTGACTAAAAATGGTGCGAAATTTGAAGACTTAGACATAGAAGGTTTGTTAGCAGTCAAAGAAAGTTTTGACAGAAGGTTCTCAAACCTTAAAGAAGGCAAAGCATACAAACTTGTTATACCTTATGAACCAAAGAAAGCAGACGACTATGAATATTATGAGTCTAAGATAGTTGAAGTTCAAGGTAAATTGGGTAAAAAGATTTTAGAGTCTAAGCCAGTGTTTGCTCCTAAAGAGGAAGAGAACATTGACATTGACCCAGAAATGTTCTAAAAATAAAATTTTATTTTTACATGTCAAATTTCTTTTTCTCTGGAACTGGTTCAGGTTCTTTCTTCTCTTTTCTACTTTTTTCTCTTTCTTTTCTCTCTTCTTCTTTTTCTGGTGGAGTTATGTCAAATTTGGCGCAACCATATTTATGTAAAAGTTCTTTGTCCTTTAATAGCTCATCTATTCTGTTTTCTATTTCATCTTCAAGAACAGCGCATGTGTCTTCTTTGCATTCTAAGAACTTTTGTTGGACTTCATCTTCCAAGAGGCGTCATCTCTGTCAACAAGTCTGTCATTGACAAATTTTAAGACTGCTTAATGTTTTATGGTTCTTGTCATATTCCCAGAAACAGAACTTTAGAACAAATTCACCTTTCTTGTTTACACTATGTAAGATTTTATGGTCGACAGATGTTTTGCTGTCGAAAAGTTGTCTCGAATATAGATAGCGAAATCGCTAGACATTTTCTAAAAGATAAAAATTTTAATTTTTCTAAAAATATGTTAGAAAAAAAGTTTGCTGACATTGACAAGAAATTTGAGAATGTTTTAAACAAGAACAAGAGGAAGTTAGAAAATGCTCAGATAAAGCCTATACATGACAAGTTCTTATTTGCTCAGAATGGTATAACAGGTCTAATTGCACCACCTGGGTCGGGTAAGACTTTCACTTATCTTAAAATGGCTGCACAACAACAAGAACTAGATGAGAAGAACCCATTCTATGAGTTAGTTGTTATTTGTTCGACTTCTGGTCAATTTGACCAAACCGTCAATTCGTTCAAAGATATTATAAAGAAGTCTAAGTTAGTATGTATAAAGGATACTGAGTTGTTAGATTGGATAAAGAAAGTACCAAAGAAGAGTTTTGAAGTATAATGCTATAAATGAGTATATAAATTCGAAGTTTAAAGACACAAATCAGGAAATGCAGAGAATATTAGAGAAGAAAACACTTCAGAAACAAACAGAAAGAGAATAGAATACATTTCGAAGAAATTGCAATCTTACGATTGGAAGACATACCCTCATAGATGTCTTCTTATCTTAGATGACTTTGCTTCTCATCTTTGCTTAAAGAACAGAGAACAAGACATGTGTCGAATTCTTAAGAAGCTCAGACACTTAACATCTCAGTCGTAAATGTGTACAGACAGCAAAGAGTTTAAGTAAGGATTTAAAAGAATACTTACTGACATAATACTTTTCCCCCGATTGTCCGAAGACGATTTCATGGAACTTATGAAAGAGTCCATGCAGGTAAGTTTGACAGACATGAACTATGGGAGAAGTATAAAGTCATACAAGACCCTCATACTTCTTTCAGAATTCATATCTACGCAAACAAAGTTCAAATTGTAAAAAGTCAAGCTTGAAAAATAAAGAGTTCATTTACTCTGTTGTTTGAAGTTGTCAAAATACTCTGTTATTTTTTCTTTCAGTAGCGGTAAGTCTTCTTTGAGGTAAGTATTGTACAACCTTTCATATCATAGTGTGTTTGAGGTAACGTATCTTGAACTATTTGTTTCACATCTTCATTTGGGGTCATTGAATCGGTAAGTTTTCGCGATAGAACCAATTTCTGTCAGATTTGTAAATCTTAGCAAGGTCGTAAAAAGCTTTTGTTGTTTCTTCTGACTAAATGCAACATAACCATATCTCTGTCTTCTTCATTTTCCATCTCTTCAGTATAAATCATATACTTATAGTTCTTTTCCTTTCCTTTTGGTACCGAACGTGGTATTCTTTTCTGAATGCTTTTGTCTTTTGCTTCAAGCTGTTTTCCATTCTTTCACGTTCTTGTCTATGAATTTCGTCAAGAAGTCTGTAAATATACCAAGCATAACGAGGCGAGCCCACATTGCAACAGCATTTACAAGAAGTCTATGTACATACCAACCTCTCAAACCATTTGGCAAATTTTTACGATTTTCATGAGTTTTAGGCGACCCGAAAAAAGTCGGTCTCGCTGTGCTTCGCTCAAAAAGTTCTTGTGCTTTGGTTTTTGAACCAATCGTCTGTATGTTTGGTATCTGGAGCAAAACATGCTGTCAAAATACTTTTGCATTTGGTACATATCGTCTTTGACCGAACGAATGAGACGGAGTTGTTGTTAAACTGTATGTACTCGTATTCTTCATTTATAGCTTCATGGACTATAACTGTTGTTTGTGTTCTCTGTGTTGACATATCTGTCTTTATATTCCGCGATAAAAAAATAAAAAAATAAAAATAACTTTATTTTTTATTTCGGAAAATTCATGAAAATTCATGAGGAGTGAGAAAACAGAGTGAAAAACGGGTGAGATCTCACCTCTTCACCTAACATTATTTTTACTGAATTCAGCAACAAAATTCAAGATTGTAAAAAGTCAAGCTTGAAAAAATCTAAGTGTTTAGTCTTAGTAAGATGGTTAGCTTCTTAAAGCAAATACCATTGCTGAGTTTTATGTACGTGTAAGAGAAGTACAATGAATTCAATTACGAGTACAATTGCAATGACAACTAAGGCAACTATTTTTTCTTTTTGCCAGCAAGGGTACTTCTTCTCTTCCAATGGTTCGGCAGAACTATACTCACTCATGAGAAAATGCCAAAACGGTTTAATAGAAAAGTGTCATTTTTTCATGTCCGAAGACTCGAAGGTGCAACACTTCCAAAATACCGACGAAACTCAGAAGAAGCAGCATGGCAGTATCTTCTTGACAACTTCTTTGAGTTCTCCAGGTACACCTTGGAAAATGCTGAAGAAACTCCGACACAGAGAATTTGGAAAATTGCACTCCAATACTACCTTGACAAACAAAGGGTAAACAAAGGGTAAAACAAGGGTAAAATAAGACTAAAAACTTAACGTTTAAAAAGTGACATTTTTAATGAGCTCCCGAGTCACCGAGAAAACTTGGTCAGATGTTAGCAGCTTACTTCCCTGAGGAGGATGGAAGCGTTACATAACGTAAGGTTCAAAAACAACGAACCTGGAATTGCGTACCAAATTCGCAATTACATGACCATGGAAGAGTACGAAAGGTTTCTACAAGAGAAACCAGCTCTAAACAACTCAGAAAAGAAAGAGTAAAAAGTTTAACTCGTAATTGTTTATTTTTTTTACTTGTATAGGCAAGCTGCAAGAATGAAGTCGACTATCTCAGTCTTTGTCTTGACCAGTTGGACGGCTCTTGCGAGTACGTCTGTTTTGCGGTCTCCAGCTGGTGTCTGACCTTCGTAATTCGCATGTTCTTGAGAGCTCCAACTGTAAATGGTTGTAGGATGAAGAGTCTCTCAGACTGCTTGAGGTAGTCTTCACGGTCACGAACCGAATCTGTGGTACGAGTCGAATCGGTCGATTTGAGGGAGAGACTGAAAGCCTGTCGTCTCTCCATAGGGGCTGGGCATAATCTTTGCGTAAACGGTTCAGACCTTCTTCGAACTCTTGGTCTCTCTTCGATTGGGATTGAGAGTTGGAATGCTGGGGTGGCATTGCTGGAACATCAAGGGTTGGGGAAGTAAGGCATAGGCTGAGGAGGGTAGTTCGGGAAGCCTTGTAGTGAAATTGGTAGTAACCTTGAGGTGGAAATGGTAGTAATTTGGTGGAGGACTTGCTGGAACTGAGGTTGCTGAGGAGACTGTTGTGGTTCTGCAGCTTCGGTTCTTCTGGCTTTGGAAGGCGTTCAGGAAGAGGAACGTCGGACATTCGTTTGTGTCCTGTCGAAGGAAAAACTTTTCCTGTCGGAAGGAAAAACTTTTCCTGTCGGAAGGAAAACTTTTTCTTGTTGGAAGGAAAAACTTTTTCTGTCGGAAGGAAGAACTTTTTCTGCTCGGAAGGAAAAACTTTTTCTGAAGTTTGACCAAAAATTCTCAATTTTTCGAAATTAAGGTTTACGGACGGACAACTGGAAGAGTTCTTCCTGTCGGAAGGAAAATTTTTTCCAGTTGTCCGGAAAATTTTTTCCAGTTGTGGAAAATATTTTTCCTGTCGGATGGAAGGACTCGGAATGCCAGAAGGATTTGACGAGGCAGTTTACCTTATAGAGATAAATGAAGTTGTTAGCATATGGCAGGGATAATGAAGCCCAAGGTCAAGTTACCACTATTTCTGGAAGGTCTACACTTCAGCTCGAGACTTCGACTGGAATTCCAATTCACAATACCAGACGGGACAGCCTACGATGCATAAAGGACGCCAAAGAGAAGCTCTTGTTAAGTTCTTAAAACAAACGTCCTTGATAAAAATACCAAACAAGGAGAAACCCCTACCCCATAATGAAATTGGCAATTCAGTCTCTCCTTCACTTCTCGGAGTCAGCCGTTTACATAACCTGTGAAGGCGACATCCAACCAATTCAGTAAACCTTAACGTTTAGAGTAAAAACATTTTTTCATTTTTGAATGAAGCAAGTTTAAATTCGTCCCACACCAATCTCAATGACCGATGAAGAGTTTCAAGCTATGGTTGAAGGTGTTGAGAACGACATAGACGGCGAACTTGAAGGAGCTCAAACCACAATTGCAACCAAAATTGCACAAGTCAAGGAACAGATAGCTTC